AACTCATAATTGACCCCATGGACTGACAAAAGAACAATGTCTTAGATGATACTTAGCCAGAATGTTCATTAGAAGTGAGGGTAGTGAGACTTTAGCCCCCCTGGGGAGCTCTGCTGGCCTAGTGCGTAAGGAGTTGTGCTGAGGCAGTTTGAATCCACTAGCTGCTCAGTGAGAGAAAGATGGACAACCTCCTTCCATGTGACCTACAGCCTTTGAAAACCTGCTGGAGGTCCCACCTTGACAGTACAAAACAACAGGGGAGGGGCAGAAACAACAGTGTTTGGGGCCTTTGTGACTACCACAACAACTAGATTTAATTCCCCCCCCCCTTTTTCAACCACTTAATGCTTTGCTTAAAACAGCGCTCAGAGACTTTGCAATGGACTTTTGAGAAACAACAACTTGAGAACTTAACAGAACCCTACCTATCCCCAGGGTTTAAGCCCACCCAACTGTAACAAACTTTTTATTATTTGTTTATGAAAGGAATGGAAATGTTTTAGGAGTTCTTACTTAATCTCATGGAGACAACAGAGGTCTATCTTATTAGATCCTGTAACCAGAATATATTCACCTTCTTTGAGAGCAGTTGCAGCTGCTGCAATGGAGTCGCTGCTGCAATGGAGTCACTGCTGACTGACATTGTAATGGAAAAGGTTTCAGATGTACTTGTCCCACAGTCAGTAGAATTCCTATTAAATTCTGCTCTTACTCAACATCAATCTGTTAGTCAATTTGCATATAAATTCTTTCATTTCCTTTAGATCTTCAGTTCCACCATAGCAGGCTAGTTACACTTGCTACTATATCTTTTTTTGACAGCAGAATTTCATGATTATGTATGCCTAGATTTGACTGAACATCTGTTTGCTCCTAGGGCTGATTTAAAGGTGTTCCTTAAAATGATCTAGATCTTGTTTTATTTACTGATGGGTCCTGGCACTTGTCAAAACACAAGACAATAAAGGGATATTCTGTGCTCTAAAATTAAAAAGTTCTGTTTCAGGGTTTTCTCCTTTCTCCATACCTGTTCAATTTGTATACTAAACACATAATTTGAGAAGCTGGACTGTATGAAGAAGAATGTAGTATTACGGTTGGAAGAAGACTCAATAATGAGGTGTGTTATGCAAGTGGCATAATTTTGCTTTTAAAAAAATGAGCATTTTAAGCACTCACTGAAAAAGATCAGAGACTACAACAGTCTTTGATATGGATTACATGTCAACATAAAAAAACAAACAAATAGAAAAAACCCCAAAATTCTAACAACTGGACCAATAGGCAACATCATGATAGCTGGAGAAAAGACCGTTACTAATTATCTCATCTTATTGAATCCACAGTGAACACTCATGAAAGCAGCAGTCAAGAAATCAAAGAATGTCCTCCAGGGTCACCTATGTTGTGAGATATATATAGTTTGGTTGATTACACTTTATTACATCAGATAGGTGAGGGCTTTGGGAGACAGAGGTGCGCACTCAGTCCTTCTTGGCAGCTGCCTTCCTCATGGCGGCCAGGACATTGCTGATTTCTTCTCACTTCCTCTTGGTGCAGATGTGTGTCCCCACCCTTTTCTTGATGAACTTGAGAGCCCACTTGTCCTTGGAGACCTTGAGCAGCTCCATGGCACGACGATCATAGGGTGCAAAGACACACACCTCCTGAATCATGTCCTGAAAAAACTTGGTGTGTTTGGTTAGGCATCCGCGGTGGCGGCAGTGTCTGTGCCTCAGCTTACTCATGTTCTTGGTGACTTGGTGGTACTTGTTGAGGCTCACGGCCATAGGGTAGAGTGTTTATGGCTGCCACGGCAGAAGGACGACAGTTGCGTGTGGAACTCTCTATGTTGTGTAATATTTTGTGAGTTCCTTGTTTTTCAGTGCTGTGTAGCATTTCACTGTGTAAATATACCCTCTTTTTCCCCCTATCCATTCATTTGTTGATGGGCACTTAGGTTGCTTCCATCTCTTTGCTACTATGAATAATGCAGCAATAAGCATGGGTGGCAGCTCTGATTTCTTTAGGGTAATTTCCTAGTAGTGGAATTGCTGAGTCAAATGATATTTCTATTTCCAACTTTCTGAGAAAGCGTCAGACCACCTTCCATAGTAGTTGTACCATTTTATGTTCCCACCAGCAATGAATAAGAGTTCCAATCTCTCAACAACCTGCCAACATTTGTTGTTTGCTGTCCTGTTGAACTTTGCTATTGTTGCTGAGGTGAGATGCTATCTCATAGTTGTTTTTATTTGCATCTCTCTAATAGCTAGGGATTTTGAACATTTCTTCATGTGTCTGTTTGCCATATGAATATCTTCTTTGGTGAAGTGTCTATTCATATCCTGTACCCATTTTATGACTGGATTGTTTACTTTTTTCTTGTTGAGGTTCTGGAATATTATATACATTTTAGATATAAGTCTCTTGTTAAATATGTCATTGTGAAATATTTTCCCCCAGTCTTTGGGCTTCTTTCTTATGCTGTTGGAAGGTTTTTTATATGCATAGGGATTTGATTTTTAGAAAGTTCCATTTATCTGTTTTATTCTCTCCTGCTTTTTCATTATGCTTGGAAAACTGTGTGAAATACCTCAGTCATGAAAGGACAAATACTGCACAAAACCACCGTTTTATAATAGGATTAACGTGGATGTTGGGAGGAAACTGAGAAAAAAAGGGGATAAATAATGACCACTGCTTTGAAACAGATGAAGGAAAAAACTGTTTAAAAGGAATATATGTGTTAGGCATCATTTATGACAATAGTCTAGAATAAGAGATGCATAGCAAAGTGGACTGGGACAGGGGAGGAAATTATGCAACAATGAATGATTTTTTTTTAAAGTGAACTAAGACTAAGGGGAGAAGGGAGGCAAATGTGCAACAATAAATGAATGAAAATCCAAATTTTCTGTAAACTTTCCTTTAAATCACAGTTTAAAAAAGAAACCCAAGAATATGTTGCATTGGGAAAAATCTACTGTCAAGGATCTCTTTAAAGTGCTAAAGAGCAAAGATGTCACAGTTTAAATATTAAGGTGCACCTTGACCAAGCTATGGTATTTTTAATTGCCTCCTATGCATATGAAAGTTGGGCAGTAAATAAGAAGATAGAAGAAGGATCAATGCCTTTGAATTGTGGTATTGGTAAAGAATATTGACCATACTCTAGAATCCCAGAACAACAAATCTGTTGTTTAAAATGTAGCTACAGTGTTCCTTAGAGGCAAAGCTTGTATTTGGCTCTCATGAACTTGTTTTAATTTTTTTTCTATTTCAATTTGAACTTATATACAAGTAATTGATAGCCTTTTTCTCCAGTTGGCTGTTGGTTTTGTTTTGACTGCGAATACTGAGCTTTTTCCACTCTCCCTTTTCACAGATACAATCTATCTGATTCCTGAATATTTCACCAGTGAGGTCCACATGTACAGTCACCATTTATGTTTTTAAAAATAAGTGTTTTCAATGAATAAATCATTGATTGTACAAAATTCTACCAGTCTATCTCCAGCCTAATTTCTGATACCAAGGCCATATTTCCAGCTACTAGTTAGTCCTTCTTTGTTTCTAAATTTTTTTATTAACCAGTTATTATTGATGTATCATGATTACATGTTTGATCAATTTCAGACTGCCAATATCAGTTGAAATCTTCAATTTGCTCCTCTTTGCTTTTAGTAGTTTGTACGCATTGTTTAGATAGTAATTGTATTAATAGGTCTTCCTTGCATGTTTGTTGTTGTTGTTGAGTACCACTGAGTTGGAGCCTACCATATTCGATCCTCTAGTGGGTTTTTAGAAGCAGTTAATTACACAGGAGAAGACTGACCATCCTTGTCTTATGGGGTGGCTGATGGACTTTAACTGCATGATTGTAGCAACAGCTTCTTACCACTAGGCCTACAGAGCTCCCTATCTTGTATGTTTATGGATATCATTCTATCACTCCAGCACTATATTTCAGGATAGTCTTGAAATGTCTTGTTTATTATGAATGCAGCACCCTTCCTCTTTAATTTGTCATTTCTAATGTAGGACATTACTGGATTGTTTGATTAAAAACTGGCAATGCCAGTTTATATCTTAAGCCAATGAGTGAATGCTGACTCAACCAAGAGTGGCTACACAGGGTCCCATGTTGATCATGCCTGTGAGCATGTGATATTCTCTGTCATAGCCATATAATGGGATCAAGAAAAGATTTTAGACAACAAGCCTGTTGGGAAAGCCTTAACGCAGTTTCTTGGCTAGAGATGGTGAACCTCTGTTCTTGGGAGAGTTAGCACATACCCAGGGGCCCAGAACTGTGCACTGAGGTGTCTTCTGAACCTTGCCTTTGTGTCTCTATTCTTTTCCTCTAGATTAAAGATAGGCTTTTCCCTACAGTTTTTTAGTTCTTTCAATGGCTTATTAGACCTATGACACAGAGTAGGGGTTAGCTCCTGCTGGCCTAGATCTATATGAATCAGGGTGAGAGAGAAGGGACTGTGCTGACACCTGCAGTCTGAACTGAGAAGGCAAGGGAGACTAGGATCTTCTAGGATCCTTATGGTCCTTATGTGTCCCCTAAAGGTCTTCTGAATCCATTTGGTATTGTAGTCATGTGCAGAAAAACAAAAAATAAAGGAAAGATTGTTTTAAATAATTGCATATAACCAGAGATTGGAGTACACTTCAGGCTTAGAGATCTTCATTTGAACCAAGCTCTACCAAATAATAATCTGTAATGACAATAGATTTCAAAACCTCTTTAAGTCACTGTTTCCTCATGTGAGATAAGGGTGACAAAATTATACCTCTGAGAGTATTGTAAGAATCAAAACCAATTTGGTATTTGGGGCACATACTATAATTTTACTTATTTTCTTTATGCTTCAAATTTTTCATAACTGTCATATTGCATTTTGGGAGTGAAAAGAATTATGTTTTAGAACCTTACTTTCTTGGCCCTAATGATGTCTGAATTCTCTTTCCAGGACCTCCCATCCTACCTGGATGCCATGGACAACATCTTTGAACAGCATCGATCGCTGGGTCCACGTGCCCACCAGCTCAACAGCCCTGTCAAAGTTCTTGACATACTCCCCGTACATCTTGAGGAACAGGGCCAGTTTCTGCAGAATGTCCCCAAGCCGAGGATTCACATCCCTTAATAGGGAGACAGAGTATCAGAGAAAACAGCTGGGGATGAGGGATAGTGAAGCAATGTCATTAATGGACACTCGTTTTCCCTGGGAGGCACAAAGGTTAACTGCTTTGTTACTAAACTAAAAGCCAGTGGTGTGAACCTACCAGTCACTCCTATGGAAGAAAAACATGTCATTGTGCTTCTGTAAAAATTTACAGCCTTGAAAAATCCTATGGACCAGATCTACTATGTCCTACAGGGTCAATGTGAGTTGGAATTGATTCACAGCAATGAGTTTAGCTTAGAGTTTGGCCTTAACCCTCCCTGGATAGCTATAGGCTATGGTCAAAGGTAGGCTCTGAGGTCACCTCACATAAGATTTCCAGCTCTGTCAACCATTAGGTGAACAAAACAGCCAACTTCTGTGATCCTTAACTTCCTTCCCTAGGTAACTGTGGAGCTCTGGTAGCATAATCTGTAATGAGCTACTAACCCAAAGGCTAAACATCTCTGGCAATTTTATTCCACTAGCAATTTCTCGGGAGAAAGAGGGGACATCTCCTTCCATTGTTATTTACAACCTTGGAAATCCAGTGGAGGGTTGTTGTAAGTCATAACTAACTGGATGGCAGGAGAAAAGTCACTCAGCCAGTACAACTGACAGAAGAGCATATAGGACAGGCTGGCAGAGACATCTAGTGGTGTCATGACAGCCTGGTGCCTTGCACACACTCACCACTCCTCGGCAATCCGTGCTTGTAGCTCTGGCAAGAGGAACTGTCCATGGAAGCAGTAGATGGAGGAGATGTTTGAGAAGATACCTGTAGTAACCTCTGCAGGGATCCCTGCTTCAGCTAGCCTGGTGTAGAAGACCTGTGGACAGGGAGATAGGCACTAGCAGTGAGGAGGGCTGCCACATGGGCTCTTCCTCAATGTTACTTTCTGCCATTGCATGAAGCTAACCCATGATTTATGGTAAATTTACAAACTGAAGACTGAGTCAAGGCTGCCAGACTTCCCCGGGGCAGTTAGTGGGGCAGGAAAATGTCCTTCCATCTACTTGCTCAAATGGTATGAAAAGTCAGAAGGTCCTTCCTTTGGTTTCTGAGACATAAACAGGGCAAGATACACTGTTTACCCTGAATTGTCACTTATGTATTATTATTGCCTATGGCTTCTCACTGCTTCTCAGCTGCTTTTGCAGAAAAGTTATTCACTTAGTCAGAGACTATAGCTGTCCCCAGGAATGGTCTCCAGGGAGAGTTAAAAACACTGGAAGTGAGTGGCGGTGCCAGGGCTGCTGCAAAGCTAGAAGAGCCGCCGCGATCTGGACGGTATCGCATGCCCCGAGCTCTCTGCTTCCCCCGCCCTCCAGACCGAGGCAGCCGGAGCTCTACCCGCGGCCCCAGCAACAACACTTAGAACAGTCCAATAGAAGAGACATGGCCGGGTGGAACGCCTACATCGACAACCTCATGGCGGACGGGACCTGTCAGGACACGGCAATCGTGGGCTATAAGGACTCGCCCTCCATCTGGGCCACTGTCCCCGGGAAAACCTTCGTTAACATCATGCCAGCTGAGGTTGGAGTTCTCGTTGGCAAAGACCGGTCAAGTTTTTTTGTGAATGGGCTGACACTCGGGGGCCAGAAATGTTCTGTGATCCGGGACTCACTGCTAGTGGATGGGGAATATACCATGGATCTTCGCACCAAGAGTACTGGCGGAGCACCTACCTTCAACCTTACTGTCACCATGACTGCCAAGACGCTAGTCCTGCTGATGGGCAAAAAAAGTGTCCACGGTGGTTTGATCAACAAGAAATGTTATGAAATGGCCTCTCACCTGCGGCGTGCCCAGTACTGACCTCGTCTGCCACTTATCCCACCACTCCCCACTGCTTTTGCACCCCTATCCTTCCCATACGCATACACCATTTTTCTTTTTTTGGGCCATTACCCCACATCCTTTATAGCTGCCAAAACCATATGGGCAGGGGGCAGGACTGGATGGACAGATACCTCCCCCTACCCATACCCCTCCTGTGTGTGGTTCGAAACTTTCTGTTTTTTGGGTTTTTCTTCTGAATAAAAACAACAACAACAACAAAAAAAAAACAAAAAACCAAAAAAACAACAACAAAAAACACTGGAAGTGAAAAATCAGCATGTCTAGGCCAGGATAAAATTTGTCCAAGCTTCAGTGTTCAAGTGTCCTCATGCCACCAAGACCCAGCAGGTGATGGAGCCAGGCTCCTCTTCCGCACTGTGTACCCTTACCTCCCTGGACAGTCAGTACTTACCTGGTCCAGCAGGTGCAATCGCTTCACATAAGCCTCTTCTGTGTGCAGGAGCTCTTGGGCAATGTTGAACAGCTGCTGCGGTTGGGGGAACTGCCAGGAGAGGAGAAACACCTGAGCTGAGGAGCAGAAGGTTGCCGCACAGAGGAAGGTGCCACACAGGGCACTGCTAGGTAGATTATTTGGAACTGTGGGTGCTGGGTTGGATCTTAAGATTTCATAGACAGGATCCTAAGGACCATCTCCAGCAAGGACACAGTTTTTGCTACAAAGCAGCCTCAGAAACGCAGACGTGATATGTGTGCTGTGACTTCCATGGCTACCGTGCCAGAAAACCACTGAATGATGAAAACATGACACTAAGTCTTTGTGCAGACTCACTGCACTGCATAACTCAGAACAGAGCAAACCACTATGTAATCCAGTTAAAGTTAGTCTATGCATACTTACTCATTCATTGTAACAAATGCACCATAGTAAGCCAGTGATTAATTATAGGACATAGTGAGGTGCTGGGGAGAGAGGAACCTTGGAAAGTAACTGCTCCAGTTGGGGAACCTGGCATGCCAGGACCACTTCACAACCAAAGAGGAGGACAGTTGTTGGTGTTGTTATGTGCCGTCGAGTCACTTGTGACTCATAGCGACCCTATGTACAACCTCCCTAAACTCTGCTCTGTCCTGTGCCAATCGCACTGTCTCCAGCACACCCATCACAATTACCCCAGTCACCAAATCAATCCACCTCCTAGAGGGCCTTTCCCTCCTGCACCTGCCCTCCACCCGCCCAAGCATGACATCCTTCTCTAAGAACCGGTGTCTCCTTACAACATGTCCAAAGTGTGTCAGATGAAGCCTCAGAATCCTTGCCTCCAAGGAACAATCCGGTTTAACCCTCTCAAAGATGAATCTGTTTGTTTCCTTAGCAATCCATGATACCCTCAATACTCTTCTCCAGCACCACAGGTCAAAGGCATCAATTCTCCTTCTATCCTCCCCAGTCATTGTCGAGCTCTCTGATGCATAACAAGTGATTGCAAAGACCATGGCCTGATTCAGACACACTTTAGTTTCCAGAAAGACACCATTGCTCTTCAGTACTTTGGAGAGGTCCCTAACAGCAGACTTTCCCATCACAATACATCTTTTAATTTCCTGGCTGCAGGTGCCTAGAGGTGTTGATTGTGGAGCCAAGAAAACTAAAGCTGTGAACAATCTCAATCTCTTCACCATCCATCCTGATGCTGACAATTGGTCCAGTGGTGAGAATCTTTGTCTTCTTGACATTGACCCTCAATCCATATTGAAGGCTGCAGTCCTTGACCCACTGTAGCAAGCGCTTGAGGTCCTCTTCAGTTTCAGCAAGCAGGGTTGTGTCATCTGCATATCACAGATTGTTGATAGATCTTCCTGGTGGCCACATTTCTCCTCATAGAGCCTAGCCACCTGGATAATCTGTTCTGCATACAGGTTGAAAAGCTATTGAGACAGGACACATCCCTGGCATACGCCCTTCCCAATTTTGAACCATGCAGTGTTTCCTTGCTCTGTTCTATTGACTGGCTCTTGTTCCAAGGTTTCACCTTAGCATGATCAAGTGTTCTGGGATTCCCATTCTTCTCAGAGTCAGCCACAGTTTGTTATGATCCACACAGTCAAAAGCCTTTGCATAATCAATGAAACACAGGTAGACATTTCTCCGGTACTCCCTGCTTTCAGCTAAGATCCATCTAACATTAGCTACAATATCCCTAGTACCATGACCCCTTCTAAACCCAGCTGGGACTTCTGGCAGTTCTCTGCTGATGTGCTGTTCTAGTCCTTTTTGGATAATCTTCAGTAGAATCTTGCTTGCATGTAAAATCAATGATATTGTTCTATAGTTTCCACACTCTGTTGGGTCACCCTTCTTTGGGATGGGAACAAATATAGATCTCTTCCAGTCAGTTGGCCAAGTAGTTGTTCTCCAGATTTCTTGGCACAACTTGGTAAGCACGTCCAGAGCAGCATCTGTTAGCTGAAATATGTCAATTGGTATACCATCTATTCCTGGAGCCTTATTTTTTTGCCGTTTCCTTTAAAGCAGCCTGAACTTCTTCTTTCATCACCATAGGCTCTTGCTCACATGTTGTTTCATGAAATTCTTTTGTGTCTGCCAATTCCTTTAGATACAGTGACTCAGTATATTCTTTCCATCTTATTTCAATACTTCCTGATCATTTAATATTCTTCCTAAAGCATCCTTGATTATAGAAACTTGAGGTTTGAATTTGTTCCTCACTTCTTTGAGCTTAAGAAATGCTGAGTGAGTTTCTCCCTTTTGATTTTCTGACTCCAGCTCCTTGCACATTTCATTGTAACTTTGTCATCCCGTGCTGCCTTTTGAAATCTTCTGTTCAGCTCTTTAGTAGCTTAAATTCTTCCTTCTGCTTTGGCTTCTCTGTGCTCCAGTGTTATAATCAGAGTTTCCTCTGACATCCATTTTTGTCTTTTCTTCCTCCTCTGTCTTTGTAATGAATGTTTGCACTCTTCTTGGATGATACCCTTGATATCCTCCCACAACTCATTTGGTCTTCGCTCATTTGTGTTCAAGGCCTCAAACCTGTTCCTGAGATGGTTCTGAAATTCAGATGGGGTATACTCAAAGTTATATTTTGGTTCCCATGGATTTGGATTAATTTTCTTCAGCTTCAGCTTGAACTCGCATATGAGTAGGTGGTGGTCTGTTCCATAATCAGCTCCTGGCCTAGTTTTCAAAGCTGATATTGAGCTTCTCCAGTAGTTCTTTCTGCAGATATAATTAATCTGATTCCTATGCATACCATCAGGTGAAATCCCTGCGTATAACCTGTGTTTATGTCCCTTAGAAAAGTATTTGCAATGAATAAGTCATTGATTGTGCAAAATTGAATCATTCTATCTCCAGCTTCATTTATTTCACCAAGTCCATGTTTTCCAACCACTGAATCTTCTTTTCTGTTCCCATCTTTTGCATTCCAGTCACCCATTATTATCAATGCATCTTGATTGCATGTTCGATCAATCTCCAACTGTAAACGTTGATAGAAATTTTCTATTTCCTCTTTCTTGGCTCTGGTTGTTGGTGCATATATCTGAATGATAGTAGTATTCACTGGCTTTCCTTGTATGCATATGGATATTATCCTATCACTCACATTGTTGTACTTCAAGATGGATCTAGAAATGGCTTTTCTAACTATGAAAGCAACCCCATTTTCCCTCACATTTTTATCTACGGAATAATATATCATATGATTGTCCGATTCAAAATGCCCCATGCCGGTCTATCTCTTCTCACCAGCCCCTAGTATGTTAATATTTATGTGCTCCATTTCTTCCTTAACAATATCTACTTTTCCTATGTTCGTGGGTCTCACATTCCATGTTCCAATCACTAGTGTCTGCTTACAACTGTTCCTCTTCCTTTGTATTTCCATTCTTCAAAGCTCCACCTCAGTAGTGTTTTTTTGTTATTCTACGTGTGTTCTGTTGTATGTAAGAACATACAATAGGAATATACTAGAAGAAAAATCAGAGATATGAAGAAAGCATTAGAATCATTTGATATAACATCAAGAGGAAGAACATGCATACAATCAAGATTCCAGAACACAAGGGAGACAGATAAAACCTTGAGAAAATTATGGAAGAAAACTTTCCAAGTATTATGAAGAATGAGGAAACACATATTCAAGAAGAACAGAGTATCCCAAACAGACTAGATCCCAAAAGAAAAATCTCAAACATATTGTAGTGAAATTCTCCAAAATTAAAGATAACGACGGGATCCTAAAAGCAGCTTGGCAAAAACAAACAGTCGCCTACAAAGGAAAACCAACAAGATTAAGTTCTGCCTTGTAAGCAGGCAAGAATATACAAATTCAAAAACATGGAAATTATACAAAATATCTTCTCACCACAAAATTAGAAATTAATAACAATAGAATAAAGGAGAAAAAATCGTATATTTGGAAACTGAATAACAACTTGCTGCAGCACAATTGGGTACAAGAAGAAAAAAAATAAAAGTAAAAAGTTTCGTGAAACAAATGACAATGAAAACACTACTTACCAAAACCTCTGGGAAACAGCCAAAGCAGTAATCAGAAGTCAATTTATAACAATAAGCAAACACATCAAAAGGCAGGAAAAATTGACCATTGAGACTCTAACCCAACATCTCTAACAAATTGAAAAAGAACAGAAAGAAAACCCAACACCCTCTAAAATAACTGAAATTATAAAAAAATTGTTGTTGTTATGTGCCATCAAGTCGTTTCCGACTCATAGCGACCCTATGCACAACAGCCCTAAACCCTGCTCTATCCTGCGCCAACTGCACCGCCTCTGACACACCCATCCTGATTACCCCAGTCACCGAATCAATCCATCTCCTAGAGGGTCTTCACCTCCTGCGCTGTCCCTCCACCCT